ATGATGATAATTACAAATTTTCACAACAAACGCATATTGGAAATAAGGTTTATATTATGAAAATTTTCTAATTATTATCATGAATAATTTGATTTCCACTAAGTAACGCGTCTATGCATTGACAAAAAAACAATGTATACAATTCAAATGTATATATTACCGATAATTTTTTACTGTTGCCTAAATGATGTTCCGCTCCAACAATAATTATTCTTCTCGTGAACTTGAGTTATGTTTATTTCTCATCTACATTTGAAAAATACATTTAGGAAAATTGAAATGTGGTCGTATCCATCACTCGAACAAAAACTAAGACAGCAGCTGGTTAGGCAGCTAAGCACCTTTGGGTAGGCAGGTACTCATTTCTGATAGACGATGATAATTTAAACAACAAGCACTATTATATATCCTATCCAACAACAAAGTATTGGACTCGAACCCTGTTAGATATCCCGTCGATGATATTCGTTAGTTTCTAGTATGTAATTTTTATTCAGTTTAACAAATAATTTCTACGAGTGAAATGGCAAGTTTGTTTTTAATAACTACTGTTGGTACAACAAAAGATTACAAATGCGTCATCAATAAAATACGCGATAAAATACAAACTATTATACAGCATTCTTTTCTTCTACATGTGAAATATGAAGGCATAACGGTAACGTTTTATTTTTTGGGTTCTTTCAGAGAGATATTTTTTTTATTGATGACGTATTGCTATCGTATGAAATTTCATTGTCATAGGGGAGCACAAGCGGGGATTTCAGGATTTACTTAAGTGCGGCAGAATAATATACGAGGGGATACCTTGTACTCGGTTAAGTACCTCCACCAAATATGAGCCTCATATATAAAGCCGCCCGTGAAGGATAAAGGATCAAATTAGTAAAAAAAATTTATCATCAGAAATTCTCGGAGGCGTCAGATTAAGGTAGGGCGAGTTAATTACATGCTAAAAAGTGTATATTCTAGTAATCTGACAATTTGAGAGTGACGTAAAGAAAGGGGAGGGCAGCAAAGTTGTGAAAAAATAACGTCATTTCGACATTCTCGAGTATGAATATTACTGGAGTTTTTTCCCCAACACCAAATCGTTATTTTTAACACTTCGACACGTGTTTCGATCACCAAGTGATCATCTTCAAAGAGAAAGATTTAATCTTCCAAAACGTTATTTTTAACAACAAGAGGAAGATTTAATCTCCCTCTTTAAAGATGATCACTTGGTGATCGAAACACGTGTCGAGGTGTTAAAAATAACGATTTGGTGTTGGGGAAAAAACTCCAGTAATATTCATTACTACACCAAAGGTTCCAAACAGTGCATCATAAATTCTCGAGCATAGCTAATTTTTTTAAATATTTACTATTTAAAAAACATACACTTATTTATTTGCATGCTGTTTCCTGAGCTTTCCAATTGATAAAGTTCAATGATTTAAAAAAAATTAGATTTACTTTTTTGTCAGATTAGGCGAATCCCTCGAGATAATCGTCAGATTATGAGACAGGTCTAGAACATAAAGATGAACCATATATATCCTAATCTGACGCGCTTGAGTATTTCAAAATGACGAGTTTATTTTGCACATTATAATAATGGCCGCGAGTTTGCGTCAGATCGAAATCGTCAGATTATTGAATGAGAGCTCTCTTTTGGTGCACTTAACACCTCCTTAGAAAATCTGACGCGCTCGATTGAATTTTTTTTCTTTTCACTTTGAACCCTTACATACAACCACCCGCATCTTGCAAACGGTCAGATTAACATACGAACATTATTAAAAATTCGTAGGACATTGACGCTATTAATATCTGACGCGCTCGAGTATGTCCATGCAACAGTATTTTTTACATATTTAAAAATCTATAGTCGCTTGCCCGACCGATGAAAAGGTATATATTATATAACATTCTTTTCTTCTTATCGTCTGAGCTTTCCAACCTGATATGTCTCTCTATGACGCTCGAGTAAATCCCCATTTCGCATCGTGGGCTCCCCTACTATTGTTTCAACGGTTATATTTATATGATTTTGGAGTCTTTCATTCTACACAAGTAGTGTTTTTCCAAAATAATGAGCTGTGCAGGTATTTCACATATAATAAATGATATAGTAAATGATATATTGTAATTATAAATACTCAACTTGAAGTGGAAATGCCCTTTTTTGTTTCAAACACTGGAATATTTACAAATATTGGAATTGGATTACAGAATATGCAATATAATGTATTTAAAAAATAATTGAAGTGCTAAAGTGCTACTTATTTCGCATGTACATATATGATGACGCATGTCTGATTTTTTGTTGCCTCAAGAGTACCTAGTTTATTCATGAACTGCCATTGCAAAACTCGCTATATCCATCTTGATCAATATCCTAAACAACAGTGGATTCTGCACCTATACTTGCTTCCACACATGGATTCTCATTTTTTCAAAAACGGATATAGAGAGTTTTGAAATGCCACGCCTTATATATACTTTCCAAAGAGATGATGAATATG